TGTGTGTCTATGTATATATGAGTATATACATATGTATATGTGTGTGCATATATATGTATATGTAGTGTCTGGCATACATAAGTATTTATTAAATTGGAACTCTTATTATTGGTACTATTATTTGGCTGATACTAATGCAAAAATACAAATTTTATGTTTAGTAAAAATTTTTTTAATTAAATTTAAAATACATTGTACTTAAAGCATCTATTTATAAGAGTAGTGATTGCAATTCTTAAACTACTGCCTCCTATTAATTTAAGCAACATGGGACTATGGGAATGATTCCAGCATTTAGTCTTAATAAATTATAACAGTGCTATTCTCACCTCTGTAGTACACCATAAAACTGTAGGATGTATTTTGCTGGAGAAATAATGAAACCCTTTATTTTTTTTAAAATAACATATTGAGGACATGAAGATAATGTAATCTACATTTGGTGTATGGGAGCTAGTTTTTAATTCTAAGATCCAAAACTGTAGCTGGACCCAAATGCTCATCTTAACTACCACTGATCACACTCTGTTCCTGATCACTCTGCCAATGTTTTTTCCAGTTCATGCACTTGTTCACAAAGTATTTCAAGATTATATGCTTGAGTATTCTGTGATGAAAATGTCATTTTAAAAATTCTTAACAGACGTATTATGCTAATAAGCTTAGAACTAAAGTAATTATGCTTGAAATATGTATCTGTCCCGTTTCCTCTCCTCTTCCTTCTTTCTTGCCCCAACTATCTTTATTCCCTCTTTTTTTCTCTCTCAATCTTGCCAGATATATGTAGTACAAATATAGAGATCTGCATCAATTACATGAAAAAGGTTATATAGTTTACAAAGTCTCATAAGCAAACTAATATAATTAAGCCTTATAAATTTCATTGTCTAATAGTAGCTAAAAATTGTTTACTGGCTACATTTGATACTCACCAAGGATAGTTCAGTCTGTGAGCAAACACCAGTGTTAATTTACATTACTTCAGAAAAACTGGGCATAGTCAAATGCCTTCTTTGGTAAGAGTGTTTTAAACAGGAAAGAAAATATAATGTCCCTACATTAAACATGCTAGCTTCGAGTAGTACTGCATTCTGGTACTGTTACTGATATCTGAAAGCACGGTAAAAAATATGTTTTGAGTGAGATATATATATGGTAATTGACCTAGCCATTTTTCTAAATAGAGTCTTAAATAACTGATAATAATAATAAATGGTGAGGAGTAGTTTGCTAGTAGACAAGAGTAAAACTTTACAAGTATGGTCTTTTTTTCTGTTTTGAGAAATTAATTTGGTTCACTATTGAATTTTTCTCCATTTTGAGTAAATGAAGGTGATATTTACAGGATTAGTAATTGACATTTTTATGGGACATTTATCCAGATATGGACATTTTTACCATTTAATTTGTAATGATGTTTCTTATATTTTGGAAGGGAATAATTCTGAAAAAGAATAATAATTTGTCCTTGCGGATTAGCTCTATTTCTTCAGTATGTTAAACAAACACAATTGTATTAATTCAGTAAGAATGCATCATATATATATATAACAATATATGCTTTTATAATTTGAAAAATGCTGCAAAAAATTTTTAATGATGTTTTTTAATTAGACAAATTTTTTTAAAAACTCAAGGTTTATGTATATGACAAGTGCTCCTTTGAATTCCGAAATATATCTGGTCTTACAAGATTTTTTTTAGTATTGCTTCAAATAAACAGGGCCTGTGGTCAGAATTCACTTGCTCTTTCAACTTCAAGTCATCTCATTTGGCATGTACTACTGTAAACCTAAATTATAGATTATACACATGACTGAATTTCATTTAAAAAAGAAACAGAGCTATCTTAAAAATTAAACAAGAATGGCCTATTGAAATTGATTATTTAACAAATTAAATTTTGCTTAGTGGATAAAGGCAGTTTTCAGATAAATCCTATTCTTTAATAGCAGGTATGTCTGACCATTCGCAAGCTGGACTTTATTGTGCTTTAGTGCAGTAACTTGTTCCTTTGGTATTTGTCTTGCTACTCTGACCTGGTCTCGCCTTAACCAGTGGTTTTTGCATTGCATGCAAGTGACATTGAATGGCCTGGGCTTATGGAATACTATAAAGTGGGATATATGTGTCCAGGCATGTAATATACACCCTAGTCTAATGTGACATACATGTAATATACACCTCCTTCACCTTCAAGTCAGAGTGAATTGTTTTACCATCCACACAGGGAACTCAGGGAGGGAATCATACAAACTTTTAAGGTAGTTAATGGGAAAGAGAGGAAATACAGAAAGCTTTGAGAAAGCCAGCATGTGGCCAAAAACAACAGCAGGTGTGGCCATATGACAATCAAATTAGAAAAGGGATCCTTGCCACACTGCCTTTCAGGAGACAGTCAAGCCCAGGCAGCTCTGGGAAGGATGATTTACTCAGTGCATTTTAAGTGTTTCTCATTGCCTCTCAGTGCTCAATTACGAAGGGAATTTAAATCTATAGTAGCAAATAGATGTTGAAGAATTTTCTTAGTAAAAATAATAAATTCTAAAGTGATTTCACTTCCACAATTAGAGATCACTATGCCAAAAGCACATTAGTTTCCCAATAAAGCATTTGCTTGCTAAGCTAAGGCTGTTTACAAAAAAGTAAAGCATTATAATGCTAAATTTTAATTATTTTATTGATTTACATTATTTTATTTTAAAAACAATTAGTGAGATTATTTATAATTTGAAATTCCCTACTTAGGCCAAGACACTGTTATAATGTAATTAAAAGTATTTTTTTAAGAAGTCCTTAAACTGCAGAATAACATTTTCAGAAGTTCTTGAAGCATTTTCCTTTAAAAATAATTTGCTGAATATGTGTTTTAGTTCTCAGATTAGGTCTCAAAAACTTGTTTGACCTACAAAACAACAGGGGCTATACAACTGACATTCATTCTTAAATATAGCATTAGTATTGTATCATGTTATAATTTCATCAGCTTTCTTGGTGTGTGTATACAGTGTGTGTTTTCTAATCTGGGAAAATGTCCGTGCTTTATGCTTTGTCCTTAACTGTTTTTACCTTGAGGAAAAATATGGCCTTTGTGGAGAACTTAGAGAGACCCGTAGACGTCCCCCCTGCTCTGGCTTCCCCCTGCCCATACCCACTGTTATTAGGGTGGTAACAAACTAGCCTCTGGTCAAAATGAAGACAGTGTTCGTATTTCAACCTTAAATTCTCTGGTTTGCGTCTGCTTAAATAAGCATCACACTTATTTTCCATGACCCAATTTTTTTTAACAACAGCACAAAAAAAGATAACCAATTACTCAAAGAAACTAATGGCTAATAGTTTAAGAATTGATTGTTTCCCTAATAGTATTTTTCCAATAGGATTATTATATCTATTTTGAATAAAGAGAAATTACCCATCTTTGTAAAAAACCATGATCTTGTAGTCAGTTTCTTAATGGAGTGTAAATGTTTTACTTCTATTAAAATTAGTTTGCATATAGAAGGAGGCCATATTTTGTTTTGAAATTGATTATTTTAGGGGTTTTGGGTATTTTGCTTAAAAATCTAGCTTTGAAACTTTTATAAATTTAAAAGTTACAGAAAAGACTTTAAAAAGACATGAACATAACTGCCTCTGTCACTCAGATGTTAAAACTATTAGTATGTTGGCACATTGCTTTCAGGAGTTATTAAAATAAAACATATGGCTAAAGTCCCTTTGGTCCACTTCTATCTAATCTACTCTCACATGAGAGGCAACTACTAAACAAGTTTGGTGTTTTTCTCCCTTTCAATTAAAAATAATATTACATACATATATGTATCTGTCAAAAATGTGAGTATTACTTTAAGTATGTACATATACATTTCAAAGGTTTTTGGTATGAATTAGTCATGTTACTTTTTCACTTAAATTTTTAATTGTGATCTTTCCTGTTGATACAAAGATCTACTTCCTCCCTTTTAACTATTTTGTAACATTACATCATATAAATTGAAAGCATATTATATACCTATTTCTCTGTTGATGGACATTTATGAATTCCTTTCTTCATAGTTTTTCTAGTATTCCATTTATTCCTGAGATTTAAATAACTTTTATAAATGACGCAGTATATTTATATACTTCGGATTTGCAGCTTTAGACCACTTAGTGAATCACTCTGGAGTAGTTTCGACTGGAGATGTTTTACTTTTAAATTTTGCGTCAAATATAGCAAAATGGCAAATAATTCAAGATATGATTTTTAACATCAAATGTAATTTATTCAAAATTTACATTAATCTTTCTCATAACTAGTCACTTCCATTTTGTCTTCCTGTCATCCCAAAGAATGAAAATGTAATTTCCCAGGGGCTTTAAGAATTGGGGGAGTATTAAATGTAGCTGAAATTAAGTGATTAATAATTTACTTTTGGGTCATGAATCAACTTCATGGGATGCTAAGGATCATTTGCAACCCCAGAAGCACTGGCAATAACAATGCACTTTTTAAGACTCAAGAACTCTCAAAGGTTGGCTGCCCAACCTAATTAAACTTCAATCTTCTGATACCAAATTTATTTCTTCTTTGTACAGAATTTCCTGAGATCTTCTTGACAGGAAAGTGTCACTTTGCCTGACAGCTGATGGACAGGTTATGTAGCACCATGATTGGAGAGACAAGGAAAGCTGAAAGCTACTCGGTTTAAAGGCTCTGTGTATGGCTCGCTTTCTTTTTCATTTTTTTAAGGTTTCTGTGACAGACAAAAGGCCTTAGCAAATAGGCCTAGTTCCATTTTTTTCCCCCGCTTCCTCCAGGGGTAATTATCTTACTCCATCAATAGTGCTGTCAGAAATTGGGCAAGTAATTCAGCATTTAAATGAACAAGCAATGTAATATTTCCTGTCTCCCAGTGGAATGCTTTGCAGCTCACATTCTCTGTCACTCGCTCACTCTTGATGTATGTCCCATACCCGGTCCTTGAATGCCTTCTCTCCCCTGTGTTTCATTGCAGATGTTGGCTCCGACTTGACACCTACTTCATTTGGAGTTTTATAGGACCAGCGACCTTGATAATTATGGTAAGAGCTCCTAATTAACTATGTGTTTTCCAGGTCAAGAAATAAAACTTGCACTATCCCTGCACTGACTCTCTTTAATTTACATAGATGAATCTGGGGAAAGCCTGTACTTATTTGACCCTTTATAACTCAAGCAATTAGACACTCATTAGGGTCTACTTTTATATTTGTAAAATAATCAAAGCCAGTGGGAGAAGAAAACGTGCATTTGCAAGTTTGTGCACTGCTATGGCTCCTGAGGAGCCTGATCTAACATAATCCATTTGGTTTCATAGATTTTTGAATGGTGATGACTTTAACTTTGACCAACATTACATTTCCATTCTTTTCTTTCAGATAATTTGAATTATGAATGGAACCGGAAATTAGAAAAGTGGCAAAATATTTTACTGTTTCTTACGGTTTTGTTTTTTATATAAATCTTGAAAACTTTAAAATTTAAAACAATTTCATGTAAAAATGCCACATACAAGCTTTCTGGAGTCATACTTTATTTGTTTTTAGATGCGTAATATCTTGATTTCAAATATGAATCATTTATCCTCGTTTAGATATAATTGTTAGTATCATTTGCAAACTTAATAATTTTAAATACAAAGTTGTATCCATTTTGGGGGGGGGAATAGCTCTTGATTTTGCATAAAGTATAGGTCCACAACTCATTTTCTGAAACCTTTTGGGCAAGATATATTTTAAAATTTAGACATTTTTCAAACTTTATAAAGGTAATATGGTACTTGTACTGCATATTACATACCATCTCTAGTGGGGATAAGTAGTTGCCCCAAATCAAATACATCAGTCTATACTCAGTAGAGACTGGGCAGGACTCTGAAACCAAACAGTAATAATTCAGCAGAAAAAAATATCATAGGAAAAGTAAGATTGAATAGAATAAAGACATGAAGAGCCTTATGTCCATTCAAATCAGGTTCTCCCACCAAATGGGTTCTGTTCAGGTTAGGCTTTTTGGCTACCCAATTAATTTTTTTTTAACTTTCACTTTTCAGACTTTTTGAATTTGATAAAGGGTCATAACCCTTTATTACCCAGAAGAGAACTTCTGAGAATTGGGGTTTAGATTGGATTTTCCTAGTCCCACCAATCCCAAATTCTGGAATATATAAACAGATTAGGTGATCAAGGGAAGGGCAATTTGACACATGGTTTTCCATACAATTTACATATATATGATATATGGAATTTAGACTGGAGCTTTTTGTTTTGTATTGTTTTAAAACATATGCCCTCTCTGGCTCCAGTAATATATACCTTCATTGGAGGTTCCCTCTACCTTAATCCTAGTTTGTTTCAACATCAGAATTTAACCAGAATTTTATAATCCTTTTGATCTGGTGGTTCAAAAATAGATTGAATTTAGTATTTGTGTGTACTTGGCATAGCAGTGCTTTGTACCTCACTGGTATTCTAGTTCCCCTAACTGGCTTCTTGCCTTTGCTAAAAGACTGGGTAATCAGCTATGATCCAATTCCTTTAAAAGTGGAGTGAGAGCTAATTTCCCAGAACAACTCATCTGTTATTTTGAATAGACTTTCTTTTTTTCTACCCCAGTTATGCTACATAACAGTACCTTTTACATTCCAGCTTAATGTAATCTTCCTTGGGATTGCTTTATATAAAATGTTTCATCATACGGCCATTCTGAAACCTGAATCGGGCTGTCTTGATAATATCAAGTAAGTGATTTTTCTTTTTGTTTTTTCAGGCTGCCTTACTTTGGTACACTAAACTATCCTTACTTTTAATTGCATTGAAATCTTATGACAAAATGATAAAAATCGGTGCATTGTCTTTGCTGAATAAGGTCATTTATTGACTATTAAGGTCATTTGATCTGCCTGAAAATGAGCCTAATGAAGCTCTGTCTTCAGAGAAACTAACCCCCCAACTCTGATTTACAGCATGATAAGATTTTAATATATATATTTATTTATTTTATTCTGAAAGCAAATATGAAGTTTCTGGATCCAGGCAGATTATTAATTCTTAGAGCAATAAGCAGATCAGTTCTTAACATTCCATGTCCCCCTTCAGAGCAATGTGAAGAGAGGCAGATGGTGGCATCTGCAAGTACCAGAAGGGAGATTCTACGCCACAGAGAAGAGCCCCCTAATTATTAATCTGTGCATTTATATAGGAGCTGTTATGCAGATGACCTCCTCTTCTCCTGAGAGAGGAAGAGAAACCTCAACTTCCTAATGTAAAATCCTTTATAATATAAATATATGGCTTTAGGCTTAACCACCAACCCCTTTTTGAAATGTTAATTTTTTTACCTAAATCCCTCCAGATGTCTCTCACTATTCATTCAGTCACTCAGTCATTTTTTAACTTCTCAGGTTTGTCCTTTAACCCAAATTCCACTTGTCTATGTTCAGAAAAACCCTAGCAATAAGAAAATATTCACAGTACTTCCTTTATATACACAGAAAAAGAAGCCAATTTACATTTTCTGAAAAGATATTTCAGAAAATATCTGTATAACCAAAAATCTTACCTTGTTCCTTTAGAGTCTATGATAGTTGAGAGACTAACGTTGTGATGGACTTTAGTCATTAATATATAAGATATATTAAATTGCATTTGTAAATAATTTCCTATGTGTTAACTTGGTTAAATGTTTGTATTTAAATGAATGCACTTCCAGAAGTTTCCTGAGGTCACCTTTAATTTTCATGTGCTACTGACACTCCTTGAACTACCTCAGAGAGCATCAGTGTCACCCATTTTCCATCTCTCTGCATTGAGCACCTGACCATAGGTCCTTGCCCATAGCAGATCCTCACTGAATGTTTATGGAATAAATGATCCTATTAAAGACTTTAGTGACAAAAGTGTATTGCCATTAAGTGGTTAATTTTGTTCAAGCAATAATCTGTCTAAATTAATTGAAAAGGATAGCTAAGTAATTAGAAAATAATAATATAAGAGAGTAAACTAGGAATTATCTACTGCAAGTAATAGTTTTTTGTAGGTTTTAATATTACTTAGTTGAGATAATAGTCATTATATTGTTGATTTATGTACAAGTAGACTATGCTTCTAAAATGTAGTGTTAGTTCCTTGGACTATTTGATTCTGATAAAACTGAATGTGGGTAAATAAAATAAAATATGTTTTCTTTATCATATCATACTTTTACTCTTTAGTATAAATTACATCTTTGTATCTTTTATTCTGTAGTATAAAACAGTACGCAAGTACTACTTTACTTACCATTTGCTATGTTTTTAAAGTGTTACCATAAAAAGTGAATAATACATTGATATTTATGTAATAGCTTTTAACAGATTAAAAATCAGAAAAAAGGTCATGTACTTAGCGCAGTCACATATTTTTAAAGATCAGTTTGTTCTCTCATCGTTCATATATATTTCTTTAGGTGGATCAAATCTTCATGATATTACTGTTTAGAAAAATAAACATACAAAAGGAAATAATTACATTTAGTGACCCTGATGCCATCAAGCTTTATGTTGCAGAGTAAAGCCTTAAATAAGAATACTTTGATTAGAATTCTGTCTAGCCCAGCCGGGTGTGGCTCAGCAATTGAGTGTTGACCTAGGCTTCAGGAGATCGGGGTTCGATTCCCAGTCAGGGCACATGCCCCGGTTGCGGGCTGCAGCTGACCAAGGACTCTCTCATCATTGATGTTTCTATCTCTCTCCCTCTCCCTTCCTCTCTCCGAAACCAATAAAGATATATTTAAAAAAGAATTCTATCTAAACTGCTTCAAACTTTGTAGCTTTTGGAAAGTTTATTTAACCTTACTGAGCCTTCGTGCCCTATTTTAAATGGGCATAATAATGAAACATACGCAAACATCAAATGAGCAGACGGGTGTAAACACCCTTTGATGATGAGGTTTAAAAAGTTAATAAAGCAAAGAGAGAAATTGGTAGTTTGTTAGAAAGGGAATAGAAGGTGGTTCTAAGGTGGAAGAAACATGAACATGGGTGTGCTAATAGGAAAGAACCAAGAATGGAGTGGTCAGAAGTTGAAGAAAGGGAATCGTGCCAGTTGTGACCAGAGGAATTGTAGGGAGTGTGGACCAGAGCAGTGGTGGAGCAATTCCACATCATTGGATTTCATGAAGGACACGGTTGGTCCCAGAGTTACCAGAAGCAGGAAGGAGGACTCTTTTCCACTGAGACTGGATGAAATAAATAACAAGCGTGATGTAGTCATGTTGGTGGAACCAGGGGAGGGCAGTAAATTGAGGGGTTTCTGCCTATTCTCCTCTGTGAAGTAGGAAAGATGGTCATCTGCAGGATATAGGAGACTATGGAAGAGAGAGAAAAAGAAAGAAAATATTTCCTAGAACTTTCCAGAATCTGAAGGACGTTTCCTTTTATTTAAAATATATTAACTATATAAGAAGTGCCTGTAAAGAAATTAGTGGGGCATAATTGATAAGGAAAGAAGAATTTAAGAAAAGTAATCATGATTTTGAATGTTAAGCAAAACAAAATCTGGCAAGTAAAGTGTTTTTTAAAACAATAAGCATTTGTGGGGTTTTTTGTTAATCCTCACTGGAGGATACTTTTTCCACTGATTTTTTTTTTAAAGCAAGTGGAAGGAAGG